TGAGAGCAAAGGGAAGAACATTTTAAGCTGAAATTGTGGAAAATTTCTATTGAAGGGTCCTGAATTTGTGTTTGTTCCAGTTACTAAGGGTTACATTCCTCTGTTCGGGAAAACATTGTAATTACAGATATTGAAGACCTTAGTTTTAACTGTCATCTAAAATCAGAATCTTATATAATGTCCCCTAAAACCTTTTAGACTGAAGATTAATTAATGAAGCAAACAGAAAATTTTCATTTCCCAAGACTTTAGCATCTCCTGTTGCTTTGCTTAAGTTTGTTTGAAACATTTGATAGAAACACTAACCTAATCCAGGCGTTGTCAGCTTATGAAATATGACAAGATCACAACAGAAACAGTCATTGGACTGGCATTTCAATTTTTATCTAACTAGCCATAAAAACAAGCAGTCGAACTGTGTAAGAGTTTGTTTTCCTCTTGCTCAAGATTTCCAGGGGTAAGCAGCCCAGCGTGCACAACACTTGACTTGGAACTTGAATTTTTCAAAAAACTTTTCAATTTTTCAAAACTGCCTATGCAGTGACCCACATCATGCATACATCTGGCTGTGCTTTATCTTCAGTGTGATTAAAATACCATTTTGATTTCTGTCTAAACCAAAATATTAATGTCTTGGACTGACAGTAATTTAACAATTGAGCCTTCACTATCTGACGGTAAATACCAAAACTGAGGAACGGCTTGCACTCTGTGTGTCCCAGCTTTCTTGCATCTTCCCTCTCCCAGAGGTTGTTGGATGCTGAATGTAAAATGTTGAATGTTATCTCACGTTTATGTGATAATATTATCTGTAAGAAGAGTTAGTTGCACACATTTTGAAGCCCCCTGTGTATGGACGGCGGGTCATTTTTATTGAACGGCTCCCTGCGCGGTTCCCTAACTACTCCCTGGTCAGGTCTCTGATTGAAAATACCAGTGGCTGACAAAGGGATAAAATTACTCCTCTGAAATCCTACTGTGCGTTTTTAATATAATGTGCTAATACATGGGCCAGTGTTCCTGCAGAATTACAACACTTCTCCGAGTAGGCCTGGCCAATATCTGATTGATTCTGGTCTGTGGGGATTGGCCCAGTGTAATTTCCTGTCTTGTTGCTTTCTTGTCTATTAGAGAGGGTTTGGGTGGTGGAAATCAATAGGCTTACACATGCAAAACGTGAGGTTATTCTCTAGCAAGTTTCATTTGTGCCTGTAATCTATGGAAAATGCTATTTTTCTCCTCTGAACGTGTCTATGTACCGTTTTTTTAGCAGACTCCTAACTCTACTTAAACAAATACCCATTTAAACATACCCCCCAAAGTATTCTTAAAGAAGATATAAACGACTGTGGAGATGCTTAACACATGCATACCCAGGATCTGCTACTTAAGACGTTAATAGCACTTAACTGTTTTGTAAATGGAGTCCTATTTGTCTCAGCAGAATCATTAAAGTTATGATTTATCCTAAAATGGACGTTAATGTTCTATTTAATTGTAAGGGAGATTTAAGCATCGCACAATCTATTTCTGTTAACCCTGTGAACTTTGGAAAGACAGAAATTAATGGTGTACAGTAGGATAACTTTATTTTTGTACGAAATATGTTTCTAATATTTCCCTCGCTTATTACAGAAACTGAAGCAAACTGAAGAAACAAAAGAGGATTCCCAGAATAGATTATCTAAAATTTCCCTGGAGTCTCTCAATAAATTTAACAGCAATAACGTACTTTTATTAGAAAAAGAGAAGAACTGTCTGAACAAGGTTGAAGGACAGAAGGAAGAAAACGGAAAGAACGAAGAAGCTTCCTTAAATAGCTCGGGTAGGCACGACGTGGACAATTTAGAATCCTTGAGCGACTCCCTATACGATAGCTTCTCCTCTTGCGCCAGCCAAGGCTCCAACGACGTATAGAGACACTTCCCAGTGGGCCGTGACCGCGGCACGTCAACGGAGCCGGAGGAGCAAGGGGGGAGCAGAGACGGTGGATCAACGTTCTTCCCCCGGATGGCCGTACTCGCGGCAGGGGGCTCTGACTTCTGTCCCCCCCCCAGCAATAAAAAAGGCAAGATGGCAGACGTCCCGCCACCTCAGACGCAACTCGGAACGCGAGGAACGGTTACGCAGAAAAGAGTCTTAATTTTGCACTTTTGTGAATATTTGTACAGTTGTAAATACCTTGGGAAAATATATTTGTAGGGATAAATGACAGCAATAAATATTAAATTGGTGCTATGCTCCTGTAATGGCAGATTACTAACTTAAAGAAATTGATGTTAATATTAACAAGAAAAGTTAGTAGATTTTTAAAAAAGATTTATAATTGTTCTAGTCTTAAAACTGTATGTAGAAACACTGCGTTACCATAAACCTGAGCCTGCCAAATCATCTGTAACAAACTTTCTTCGACCCCATGTTACAAAACTTCCTTTATTTTTTATTCTTGGTGCAATTCCATACAGGTGTTCTAGGGAAATGTGTATTTCAGTTACTGCGACTTCACAACAGGCGTCTTATTTCGAAAGGGTCTTGACTTTTGACATGGCGAGAAAATGAATAGATTAAAAGCCTCGATACTGCTGGTATTGACTTCATCAATCATGTGCATAACTGTTTGAAAGATCGGGGTCAAACTAATTCACTGCTGACACAAGCGGGAGCCTCGTAGGAATGAGAACTCCACAAACCGCCCTCTGCTTCTGACTGCGACGCAGCTTCCAGTTTCTGGATGTACCCTGTTGCGTTACCTTTTGTAGTCCCCGTTTGGTCTTCACTAAATTGCAAATGCAGAGGTAATTTTTTTTTAAAAAAGTCAAAATTCTGCTTCTGTTGGTGACACGCTTAAAGATGTCGGTGCTAACCAGTTCAAACATATCTAGGAGCCTGGGGGATTGGCGTGTGTTGGGTGTTTTTGTTTTTTCTACAAAGGTTGTTTATATGTAAGGGAAAGTCTATTTCAAAGGTTCTGTGTATTTTTTCTAGATGTGAAGTATTTATAACTGCTTTTTGTACAGCGATCTGTAAACTAGATATATTTGGTATATTTCTAGACTCTACAGTTTCTTTAGCACATGCCTGTTAATCTTTGAAATATCGTATGATCAGTGTTAATATTTTGTGCAATTTGTTATATTTTATGTCTATTTCTGCCGTAAACTTGCAACGTCTTTTTCGACTTTTCAGAAATTTTCATTGAAACGTCTTTTCGTAAATAAAACTTCTCTCTCATTCCTGTGCCTAAAGAGGGGTTTTCGGAAGGGGCTGGTGAGACACCTCGGCGTTAAAGGTGGCGCAGCCCCCGCGGCCCGCCGAGCTGCTCGGCCGGGGTCAGGCCTGTGTGTGCGGCGCTCCGGGGGGAATCCGGGGAGAGAGGAGGAGTTACCTCCCCAGGCTGGGTTAAAACAGTGCGGAAAAGACCGGCACCGAGGACCTCTCGGCAGCGCCTCAGCCTGCCCTTCTCTCCCAACCGCTGCTCCGGCCCCGCCGCGGCCGCCGCCTCAGACCGTCGCGCCCGGCCAACGGCTC